AATATAACTCAAGTAAAAGTAAAAAGTATTTTGCATTAAAACTACTCTGAAAAGTACAATTTATCCAAAAAGTTACTCAAGTAAATGTAACCGAGTAAATGTAACTAGTTACTACCCACCTCTGCACTGACCACAACACTATGTCAGGCCTCTGATTGGTACAAACTATTTCCTGGGGAACAACAAGCTTTTCCCCTAAATCTACTTGCATTTCCCAATCACAGGCACCTTCTAGGCGGCCACGCCCTTGCCTCCTTACTAACTTATCCCTTCTTTATTTCTCCCCCTCACGGACAAACTGAATTGCTAAACTCCTATTCTTAAAACCTTCTGAATTTACCTGTCTTCGTTTCCCTTCAATGCCTGCAGCTAAACTTTTCAACACCTGGTTATGTCGCCATGTATATCGACCTTGTGACAAGGTAACTTTATATCTTAATGACAAATCAAAATGGTACCCCTTTACTTGAGGTCAAAGAATTTATTCATTACACTGTCATAATGGTGTCACGACCAGTGTTGGGGTAGTTACTCAAAAAAAGTAATGCATTACACATTACTAGTTACTTTTTTTTAAAAAGTAATGCCTTACTTTACTTAATTACTCACTGCTGAAAGTAATTAGTTACACTACTAGTTACATTACTTTTGGATTGCTCCATCACTTTTGGATTACTCCATCACATCACCTGAGATCCACCGTAACTTAATTGCCAATTAACAATATAAAGTTAAACCTTACATATGCCCAGATCAGCACAAATCCTTATTCTAATATGGAGGACATACACAATATCTCTCTTTTATGCTCTTTAATACAAAAAAGCTGACAGCAAAGTTGTGAAAATCAGCCCAAATAGCACTTCACAGAAAAATGTGTCAAGAACAAGGCTATAGTACTGGCAGTATGCAAAACGTCTCAAAATAAAATTATGATTAAAACTTTCATTGGAAACTTTTATCATCATTAAATGTCTATTTATATTTTGAGGCCATGAGATAAGCATCGTCAAACTGAATGTCTTTACAATACAACAACATAACTTAAAAGAGTTTGTCCTTCCAACCATCTAATGCAAACATGAATTTGTTCAAAATAATATCAATAAATAAAATAAGATCATCATATCAGACAATGATGAGACTTCAAAGGAAAACAACGTTGCATATGAAATGTAATTTGAACTGTGCAATCCAACAGGCCAAACACACTCAACTCACTGTAGCTCACTCACCAAACTAGGGCTTTACAGTACATTTTTCCATCTTACTGGACATGCTTATCAAAGAAGTGGTTATACCTCATGAGGAGTCTCAAATTGTTTGTCAGACAACCAGTTCCTCCTCCGAGTCAGCCCAAGACTGCCCAGGATAAAGAGCCTCTTCACCGGTGCACTAGAGGGTGTTGCTGTGTTGAATTTCATACATATAGTCTTTATTGTGGGGAAACGGTTCAGAATCTTTATCTCTGACCCCGACTTCATATAGTCAATGACTGCTGGAGGTGGGGATCTGTGGCGTACGTACATCCTGCTCATCGTGGGGGGAAGCACAGCATTTGGTGGTCAGCAGTGACCTTTAAGCATCTCTCCTCTTCTTTCAGCCACCAGACTTTAAACTTTGGCAGTGTGACAGCTGCAAGGAGAGCATCTTTGCTATCCAACACCAACCCAAATCGTGTCTTGATGGCCTGTGAATGCAATATAGAACGATTTGATGAGCTTGGCTATGTACTGTGTAATTTGCGCTGCATAGCTCAGCGGGAAGCATCATGTGAGTTAATGAGGTACTGTAACATATCTGCGGTTTCACTACAAAAACATAATAATAGATGAAAATAAATTAAAAAAAAAAAAAACAATCTATTTGGTTTTCAGATTTAAAATTAGGCAGACCCGCTGTCATCTGGGAGAGCCTGTTTTGCAGTGCCAGTGTCTTTGACATCAAAATCTCCAGCGTTGGCATGAGACTGCCAAAGTTGACATGTACTCTCAGTTTCCATCTTCACGTAACACTGGTCCAGGTAGCTTGCAAAAGTTTTCCTGTCTGATGGCGGCCGTCCACTCCTCATTACCTGTATTTTGCTCAGTATGTTTCGGAAAGATGGCAATTCCACTGTTGAAACAGGCAACATTTCTTCCATGATGTATGCTGCTACAAGTCTACTTATCTCTGCTTTTGCCGATACCTTTTGTTGAAAATCAAGCCTTGGCTGCTTGGTTGGTGTTGGCTCACCTTCAGCGTCACGGGGGTCTTTAGCTACTAGCTTTATGTTAGCATGTTGCCTTTGCAGGTGCTTGGAAAGATTTGATGTCATGTTTGCAGTGGTGGAGAGTTGTTTTTGGCCTAGGCAGAGTTTACACTTTACCGTCACATTATTGTCCTTTCGCGCAACAAATTCAAAGTAGTGTGCGTATCTCCACCCCTCAAAAGACGTCTTAAGCGGTGCTGCCATTTTTGCTCCGTCTCCTAATCCATGAAATCCAGCCAGTGTCACAGTCAGGTCAGGTGAGTGAGGTCAGACAAGTCTTGCGTAAGCACACATGAAAGGGAACGTTTGTTTTGTTTTTCTGTCCTCCTGTTATGCAGATAGTTGAAGAATTTAAACTAATGCAAGTAACAACATTATTTTTTGATTAGTAACTGTAATGCAATTACTGAAGTTATCAACAGTAATGCGTTACATTACTGTGTTACAGACAAATGTAATCTGATTACAGTAACGCGTTACTTTGTAACTTTACTTACGTTACCCCCAACACTGGTCATGACAGCCAGTTTTGTGTCATATCCTGCAAGTTATCAACAGTAATGTGTTACAAACAAATGTACTGTAATCTAATTATAGTAAAGCGTTACTTTGTTACTTTACTTTGTAACGTGATACCCCCGACACTGGTCATGACAGCCAGTTTTGTGTCGTATCCTGGCAGACATCTATCTGACCGAGTGTTAGAATCGGTCTGTAACCTTGGACATCTAATTATAATAATCATTATGTCACCTTGTCATAAACACAAAAAGAGGTGCATTTTTTTGTTAATGTCAAGTTGTCATAATAAGGACATCCTAAACAAATTTAATGTCAAAAGTGGCTGTAAGCAAAACGCGTTGCTCTGCTCTATTAAATCTTGATCCTCTTTCAAAGTCCTGTCTTGTGTGTGGTGCGTAACCACAACATATGTGGGTTTTTTCTTTACATAGTTGCAAATTTAATGTGAAGTTGTCATGACAAAGACAACTTCTGGTAATGTCACTTTGATTAATGTCAAGTTGTCATAATCAAGACAACCCAAACAATGTCAACTTCATTACAAAAACCGAATGACACTTAATGACAGCAGTCATAAACGTTTACGACATGTACATAATGTTTATGACAAGTTCATGACAATGTCATGTCATAGTTATGACATGTTGTCTGCCACATTGACGAGCGATTGCAACTGAGCGATGAAGCGATATCAAAGGGGCGAACCGAGCGACAGCGAAAAAAAAACAGGTCAGGTGTGAACACAGCTTAACTCCTCCACAGCTCCACCCTCTCACCCAAATATGCTCACTTCTGGCTCCACAGAGATGGCCCTAACACAGGTAATGGGTCTAATTACTCTTGCATGTATACAGTCAATCAGACCCAAACTGGTCAAGGCACTCTGCACATGCTCCACAGCTTCCGCCCCTTCTGGTCCAATAGCATTAAATGCTTAACAGAATAAGGAGTTGGTAACAACATCGCAAAAGCTACATCCAGAGCCGAAATGTACAGAGCTGTGAAGTTGTCCACCATGGCATAAGTTTGCCAATACTAACAAGATGAAAGGGCATATCACCACCTATTGTAGCAGAGCCGGACATACTTTGGTCAATAAATTGATTCCCCTCACTTGCTTGTATACTGGGACAAGGACAGTAGTCCAATTAAATGGCCTAGTCAAGCTATAACAGTTAACACTTAACTGTGCATGTGAACGTACTATACGTCACAAACACTCCTATTACAGCCAAACAGTATGCTGAAGGGTGAAAAATACACAATATACAGGAACATAATCTTGTGTATCATATATTATATTTTAGCACCACTGCCTAGTTTTACTGTTCGATTTGAGTTTGGTCTCAGTTTGAGAGCGAGAGAAGCCCCTTTTGCACAGCCTCTTCAAGGCGGGAATTGTGCACACTGTTCTTCTGTTCACACTGTGCCCTTGTTTAAGGGCACCTTGGCAGTGCCCAGGAGGTGAACTGGCACCTCTCCAGCTACCAGTCCACGCTCCATATTTGGTCCGGATGGGGCCTTGAACCGGCGATCCTCCGGTTCCCAAGCCAAGTGTTATGGACTGAGCTACTGCCGCCAATCACAGAATGAGGGGACAGAGTTGTCTCACCTTTAAGCCAATAACGTCAATTCGACATCTGTATAAAGGGGACAGCCAGAAAGACGAAATGGGTGTGATGTTTTGATGGCGTGTTATGCGTGCGACCCACCACTGGTAGATTCAAAAGGCAGCCAGCAGCAGTTAGCAGCCAACTCAAAGAAGAAGAACAGCTGCTGAAAATGTCCACAAACTGGGGAGACAATGAGGTCCAGGAGCGCCTTACCCTTTGAGCAGAGGACAAGATCAGCCGCCATATAACAGGGATAGGAAATGATTGTTACTGCCATGGTACACTATTGTTATTGTGTATAAAGCGCTGCTGACGCGAATGTTATGCGTCACTCTAGAAGCTGACACTGTTGTGTTACATGTCACACCTGACATGCCTCATTTGTTTCCGTGATGCTGGCATGCTGTCTAAAATCACACTCTGGAGTGGCACGATGCTGCCGTTGTTTGTTTCTGTGTAAAAAAGTAAAGGCAAGGAGAAGGGACTTTGTAGCAGCTATGTAGCACCACCTCTGTGTAAAAAGGTGTATAAAGGGAGTGCTGTGATACAACGTTAGTAGAAAGCTGAAAGTTTTAAAACACACAAACACACACACAGAGCACATTTGTACTCACTCTGCATCAGATAGTACATGGTGCCAATCCCAGCTCCGGTCAGCACGGTGGTGAAGATGGTGAGCTGCTGCAGCTGACTGGTGGAAACCCTCATCTTTGCTTCCTTCCCTGTAAGACTTCACAGACAGACACTGGTCTGGTCAGTTTACTGGGAATAATGCATCAGACACTTGAATAATGAAAATGAATGAAAATGAAAAATGAATAATAAAAAAAAAAAAATAAATAAAACAAAATAAAATAAACAAACAAATAAATGAATAAATTAATGAATACATAAATAAATAAATAAATAAACTATAGAAAACAACCCAGAAGCAGTTCTTCGTTCAATCCCCTTGGGCTTTCAGTTTGTAGAGTGTGGACAAACTGAAAGCCCAAGGGGATTGAACGAAGAACTGCTTCTGGGTTGTTTTCTATAGTTTATTTATTTTATTTTATTTTTTATTTATTTATTTTTTCATAATTTATTTCTACATAATCCTTTGGGGTCCTTTTGTACATTTTGACTTCCCATTAAGATTTATATAGACACATTGATCCATTTCCACCATTTAGATACTCTATTGTGCTGTCTGGCTAATATTAAGAGGCTGACAAGGTCAGAGTGGGTCCCTTTTACATCCTATTTATTCTCATTGGATCTTAGATTTTTTGTCCTATACATTTTCTCTACATTTTCTTACATTTTTTCTATTTACTCTAAGAATTCTAAATATTTAATAGGGTTATTTAGCTCTTAATTAAAACTATTAAAATTATGATTAAAATTAACTTGACATGCTAATTGCCCTTATTACATTTGCTTTATATGTTTGTATATATTTTTCTAAGATATTTATCTATGCTCTTTGGTCTATACTTATTAATTGGTTTCGATAGGGTCACATAGCTGTTTATCCCCTTTTTTTTCCTTTCTTTCTTTTTTTTTTTTTTTTTTGTTAATGCTAGGAGTCCCTAGTATGGACAGATTCTTGTTTGGTGATCTCTCAGGGATTTCCTTACTTACCCAGTATTTGGAGCCCTCTATGTACATTACTGGTCTCTTGTGTAATTTTTGGGATGTTTTTAGCATAGATCTATTTTATTATCATTCTTCTCTTTAGATGTTTAATGGATTGTACATATATAGTGCAGGTTGTTGCTTTGGTGTGTTTTTGGCAACTTTTGTTTGCTCGTGGGCATCTTTATGTATTTGTTGATTTGCATTGCCATTTTCATATTGTTGCTTTATGTGTGTCTCCGGTCTGGGACATTCAGCCCTGTAGATTGTTTCTCTCAGGCTCGTGACACCTGTTGCCTTTCATGTTGATTCCTGAGGCCATACCTCTTCTATCTGAGGAGGCCACATGTGTGTTGGCACACATGGATCCTATTGTATAGGCTAATCATATGGCCTTGTCACTGACTGAACTTTGGGTCTCACCTGGTTATCTATATTTGTATTGTCATTTCTTTTGTTCTCCACGCTGATGATGGCTTTATGCTGAAACACGTTTGTTTTCTGTCCACAATTAAAATACAAAGGTGGATACAAGATGGAGCAGTGAGTGCCGTTGTTTGTTTGTTTGTTTAGTCTTTATCGCAACTGTACACCCAACATTATCTTGAGATACTGAGTTGTGTGCACTGTTTCTAAGTACCATTACTTGAGAGAGCCCATGCATGAAGCCAAAGTTACACAGGAAAGGCTTAAAAACAACAATGTTCCCAAAGTCAGATCACAGGTCACAGCCCAGATTTTGTGACTGGACTTGAAAAAGGCTGTTCACTTACCATCCTCATGCAACCTGACAGAGCTTGAGCAGTTTATAAAGAAGAATAAGGTAAAATGTTTTAAGGACCTCTCCACACACAGAGTCAACGCTATAACTGCTGCCAGCATTATGGCATTCAGGATTGTGCTTCCCAACTGGTTCAGCCACGGGGTCCAGATTTCTCCTCAGTTATTGGTTCAAGGTCCACACAGTTTAATACATTTAGGGCATACTTGTGTTGGCCATGTTGTCAAGCTAGTTTGCTGTCTCTGTCAAGTAGTTGTCCGTTGGTCACTCACTCTACAGCAAGAAGCAGCACTTCAGAATAATAATAATAAAATAAGCTCTGTGCTGGAAATTTACTTTACTTAAAAATAAGGTAATAACGTTTGTGTGTCACTTGCAGTCCATTCAGAATGGACACATGACCCACCAGTTGAGCACCACTGCACTAGAGCATCTACTAAATACTGATCTGGAAGGGATAAATACTTCTGCAAACAAGTATTCAATATTTTATCCTTGTGTATAATTTAGAACTCTGTGTAGCAGTGCTGTAATACTCCCGATTGGTCTTAGTCTCAAGACCACCATTTGAAGGTCTCGGTCTCATCTCAGACTCAATTGTATTTTTACTCAGTCATGTCTTGGTCTCAGAAAAAGTGGACTCTGGAGTTTTTTTTCCAAGACCAGTCAAGACCACCACTGAGGAGATATCACTAGATTGCTCGTGGACAAAAGATGTGTTGAATAAAGGTGGTTACGTTGATTTCAGCTCCTCTGTGTTTATTCATAGTAAACAAAGGAAAAATTCACATACATCAAGTTCACCTCCGCAATTCCTTTGATTATTTGTCAAGACATTTCTTATGGTACACTTATTCATACACACATATGGCAATAAAAGAGGAGAATGAAGAGGAATCTTTTGTTTTCTGTGGGTGCTTTTCTGGGAATGAGGAGTGCCTATGGTTTGCATGTTCCAAATTTTATCCTAACTGTGTCATAAGGCCCGTTTCCACCGCAGAAACTTCAGGGTAATTTTACGGGGCCGTTGGTGCGTGTCTCCACCGCAGGAACCACCCCCGAAGGACAGAGTTCTGGAACTTTTACAGGGGCTAAACAAGTCCCTGCCTCGGAGTAGGTACTCAGAACGGCCCCGAAAAACTCCTGGATGGGAATTGGGGATTACTTGGTGCTGATTAGATATACTCAAGGCGGAATGTGAAGTCAACAGAAAGCAACAAAATAGCCGGCATTTTTAAAACTCAGCAGACGTCTTCTCCTCTCGTTCATAGCTTCCACCGCCATGTAAATGAAGAGACACGCCAGAAGCCCAGCAACCACCTCAGCTCCTTTCATGTTGTTAATTGTCTTTCTTATGTCTGCTTTCTTCTTCTTACTTCTGCTTCTTCTTCTTCTTCTTCTTCTTTGTTTGTTTCTTCGCCGCGTCGCCCCGGTCAAAATGGTCGCGCAACGATTACGTCACATCCAGAGCCCGGTAACTTTACAGGAACCTTCCTCCTACTCCGCCCTCTCAGTGGAGACACAGCAGTTGAAAGGGCCAAGCGAGAGGACGTTCCTGTAGTAGTTCCTGCCCCCCAAATACTACCAGGAACAGGCCTATACAGTGTGTGATGCACACTGGTCTGGTCTTGGTCTTGTCTCAGCCTCAATACACTCTGATCTTGGTCATGACTGGTCTCTGTTTAGGTGCTCTTGATTACAACACTGCTGTGCAGGGATCACGTTGACATTAAAAAAGTATTGTTCTGTCAAAAAGCCATATTAAATCTACTTTGATCCAATGTATACAACAATGAAATATAAAATCTTCCAAAAGGTCCGAAAGACACACACATGCACAAACAGGATCTATACATGCACAAAGTGGAGAGATGTCAGAGTGAGGGGGCTGCCTTGGTCAGGCGAGCAGTTGGGGGGTTCAGTGCCTTGCTCAAGGGCACACTGGCAGCGCCCAGGAGGTGAACTGGCACCTCTCCAGCCACCAGTCCACGTTCTGCATTTGGTCCAGACGGGGACTTGAACCAGCTCCCAACCCAAGTCCCTATGGACTGAGCTACTGCCCTTGTTAAAATGTTAACCTGTCCCCACTGTCTGTTTTCTATTTCCTAAAAGCATACAGGACAATTTCATCACTGAAATTTGAAATCTGCAGCTAAAAGGCCACCACAGCTTTCATAACATTTCCTATCACATGTAAATCTTTTTGTTTTTTGCTTTTGCACAGTGCTACGTCATCTACAGTATGCACAATCATGATTGTATATTGTTTCTGCACTACTATTTACAAAAATAGTCATTAAGCATAATATTAAGGAACTCACAGCTGCAATTTAGAAAAGGAATATAACCTACAGTATATTCTTGTGGCAAGAGGGTCTGCCAATTAAAATAAATGAATTACACAGTAGTGGGAGGTTAATAGCTTAGATAACACTATTTTTATCTAACATCATTTTTCAAGTTCAAGTAAGGTCAGATATTTCAAATCATAGGGTTAAGGTGTAGGAGACAAATACTGTATATGCTAGGGATATCCCGATCAAGTTTTGTTTTATTTTTTTGTCCCTGATCCTGATCCGAGTCATTTAATATTGAGTATCTGTAGATACCAGTCTCGATCAGATACTTCTATTAAGCTGCACAGTGCACACTTCACATACATTATAGTTATAAAAATCTATTCAATATAGACTACAACCACTGCTGGATAATTGAATAGCTCTGCATTATTAAAAAAAATCCCTGCGCCCAGCTGTTACTTAAAGCAACCCTTACCTTTCTGGAAATGTTACACTTTTCTTTGTTTAGGTTAAAATGCTATTAATAAGCTGATGGCACACTAAAATGTAAGTGAATTCCATCAGAGATAAAAACTCATAATTATACCATTATCATATGATTCTAAGAAAACTCCGACCAATCATCGCATTCAGACCGAATGCAATGATTGGCCGAGCGTCCTGTCTGTCTTCCCCATGTGGAGGCCTCCAACTGATGTAACCGCTCACGTAATCTCTCCGTTAATGTTACCGTCAACCTTATATTATATATGACTCCTCTACTCTTCTCTTGGTGTGTTACACTCGCTCTCCTCTTCCGTGGAGCTAACGTTACCTTGCCAACGCCTAAGTCTATCATAGCCATAATGACGACTTAATGGAGGAGGGGGGAGTAGGCCTTTGGAGGGAGGTGGAGTTGCAGGAGGATGGGACTTTAGAGGGAGACGGGAGTTGTGGATGTTAAAATTTTTTCCGCTCTGTGCAGTCACACTCAGTTCCCCCATCTGTCTGCTGTGTGTGTGCAGCTGAAGCTGGACGACCTCAGGCTTTCTCTCTAGCCCCGGTGTCTCTGGTGTAACCTGCATTTACAATACGGTATGTTGCTGCTTATCTGAAAAAAATATGAAAACATTCTCACCTTGTGTAACAGCAGCAGAACGGCTCTCCTCCATTTACATCCGTAAACGTCACAAAGATTGCCGCCAATCGGATGTGGGTGCGCTCAATTAATCCACGGGCTTCTGCCGCTGCTGTTCCAGCAGGCAGCGTCTGCAGGAATATTGAGATTATAATGATCTGTCTTTTACAATGTACAACTCTTTCAAAACTTTAATATCATATTAACACAACAAGTAACATCACACATACAGGGAACAATCCATCCGTTTAAAGAAGAAAAAATAGCTACACAAAGTTTACATATCAGCCGTCTTGTAGGCTGTGAAAGTGCATTTAGGCTACTTTGTCAATATAGGACGATCTCGTATAATTACCATATCAGTCCAGCAATGATGTAATGCATTACTCAGTTAGGGGGAGCAAAGTTATGTTTTTGCTCCCCTAGTTTTACCTCTTCTAAAAAAACCTGCAATCAGGTGATTATATCCAAGCAGCCCATATCAATATAATTTTACTATTATCAGCAACTGACAAAAACAAGTAGGCCAAGAAAAAGAAAAAAGGAAGAAATAATTTTATTTATTTATTCATTTATTCGTTTATTTTTTTATCAGGGACCATGTACAGAGAACATTGGACTCAACAGAGTAAAGACGCACTGCACCAGAATATAGCTTTTTTAGCTAGTTTCCATCTGCAGTAATTAAAGGTGCAAGCAGCGATGAACAGGCCCTGGCACCTCCCTGCACACTGGGGGTTAGTGGCAGTAGAGCTCTCAACGGGCCCACTGGGCAGACTCAGTTTTTCTTTTCTGTGAAAGTCAGATACTACAGATAATGGTGAGATGGTGTTTCCTGCATTGAGTGTGACTGCTGGAATGATCTATTTCACACTTTGAAACACTTAATGTGCTCACTGACATAGATGAGCCACATTCCTCAATTTAGCTGTTTTTCAACCCAGTTTCTTCATTGAGTTTCACCTTATATGCTATGTTATCAAGTAATAACGTAAAACATTTCACGGCTTTGAGCAGCACGTAATATTTGGTGTTTTGGGGTCATGCTGTATCTATGCAATGTCCTGGTATGAGTGAAGCCATTCCATCACTGACAGTGTATGTGGTTTCCAGCAACAAGCTACCATTCTTCTTCTTTTAGCACCTGTGAGATCAGCTAACAAGAGGTGCCTATAATTTCAAGTTAGCTCCAAAGAGGAGGTGTCATTAAGTAATAGCACACACTGTGACTTAGGAATGGTTTTCTCAATAATGTCAGATAAGATACTTGAGACATCTTTCCAAAAATCTATTTCTCACACACACACGTCCCTCCCTCTTCTTCTACTGTGCCTTCTCAGTGTACCACTGTCTCTGTCTACTCCCCCTACAGGCCCCTGCTGTCACTACACCCCTCTGCTGCTGCTTTCCCCATTGCGACCATTGTAACTGTCAGACCCTTCCGCCCTCAGTCCAGCTGTAAATAAAAATAACCTCTCCTACATAAAACTGAGAGTCCCTGCCTCCTCATCTCACAAGCATGATAACACCAATGCCAGTTTTGGACTGTTAAACATCCACTCGCTCACGAGCAAGTGTCAGCTCATACAGGATCTCATCACGGACCATAAGCTTGATTTTCTCTGTTTAACAGAAACGTGGCAACTGCCTAATGATTTTACTCCACTTAATGAATCCACTCCCCCCGGATTTATTTATAGCTGTCGACCGCGTGACTCTGGCAGGGGAGGAGGTCTCGCGATGTTCTACCGTGAGAAGTGGAAAGTCCTGCCGGTTTCTACCCATGCCTACCACACATTTGAATCCATCACCTCACAGTTATCTGGCCCCATCCCCACCATCGTTGCCACCGTGTACTGTCCCCCTAAACTAAATAAGGAGTTTTTAAATGACTTTGCTCAATTCCTGACACATCTTTCCACACTCTCTCCAAACATTACTCCTGGGTGACTTCAATATCCACATGGACAATATCAGCAGTGCTCTCACCAGAAATTTTCCATCTTGCATTGACAGTTTTGGACTCCAGCAACTCATCAATTTCCCAACACATTCAAAAGGACATACTCTCTACTTAATATGCTGCTCTGGTCTCTCTCCTGTCAACTGTAAGGCAATTCCCCTCCCCTTTTCTGATCACATGTTAGTTTCCTTCAATGCCAACCTTGCACTTTCCAAAATCAATCTCCCACGCACTATTTCTTTTCGTAATATTAAGGACATTAATTTGGACATTCTTTCCTCTGGCATTAACTCCCTCCCCAACGTAGACAGCTTTTCCACCCCTGATGAACTGGTACTCCATTACAACAACAGTCTTCATAATCTCCTGGACTATCTTGCCCCACTGAAAACCAAATCTGTCACTTTCACCCGCTCATCACCATGGTTCACTCCCGCTCTCAAACAACTTAAATCCAAAGGACGCTGACTGGAACGCCTCTACAATAAGACTGGTCTCACTGTGCACTGGCCCCTCTCATCACGCACATAATCCATTCTTCCCTCACCACTGGAATTGTTCCCTCACCCCTCAAAACAGCTGCTGTCACCCCAATACTCAAGAAACCTGGCGCAGATCCCAATAACCACAATAACCTCCGTCCCATCTCCAATCTTCCATTTCTGTCAAAGATACTTGAAAAAACTGTTGCCTCTCAGCTCCATTCCCACCTTTCCCGCAAAAACCTTTTTGAACAATTCCAGTCCGGTTTCCGCCCTCTCCACAGTACTGAAACGGCACTTCTCAAAATCACCAACGATCTCCTCCTGGCAGCCGATTCCAGTCTCCTATCCATCCTCATCCTGCTTGACCTGAGTGCAGCCTTCAACACCATCTCACACACCACCCTCCTGGACAGACTCCTCTCTATTGGCATCACACACACCGCCCTCAACTGGTTCAAATCCTACCTCCGGCCGCTCTCAGTTCATCCAACTCAAATGATTCACATCACAACCACTCCCAGTCACCTCAGGTGTGCCCCAGGGCTCTGTCCCCTGCTATTCATCATTTACTTACTCCCCTTGGCTACATCTTCCGGAAACATATCCACTTCCACTGCTACATGGATGACACCCAGCTCCATATTTCCACCAAACCCGACTCCACCCTCCCACCTTCCTCCCTCCCTCACTGACTGCCTCCTTGAAATAAAATCCTGGTTTTCATCCATCTTCCTCAAATTAAACAGTGACAAAACAGAAATTCTACTCATTGGCACTAAAACCACCCTATCCAAATACCCCAGTTTCAAATTATCTATTGAAAAATCTAACATATCTCCTTCCCCACAGGTCAAGAGTCTGGGTGTCATCCTCGACAGCACACTTTCTTACATTTCTCATATCAACCACATAACCCAGTCAGCTTACTTCCATCTCTGCAACATCAACCGCCTTCACCCCTCTCTCACACCTCACACAGCTGCCATTCTGGTCCACAGTCTCGTCACCTCCCGGCTTGACTACTGCAACTCCCTCCTGTTCGGTCTTCCCACAAAAAACTCTCCATAAACTACAATTGTTACAGAATTCAGCAGCTCGTATCATCACAAGGACCCCATCCACTCACCACATCACACCCATCCTGCAGCAGCTCTGGCTCCCCATCACACACCGTATCCAATACAAGATTTTACTGCTCACCTTCAAGGCCATTCACAACCTCACCCCTCCATACCTGTCTGACCTCCTCCACATTGCCACACCCGCACACACACTCAGATCCTCTTCCTTCATCCACCTCTCTGTTCCCCTGGCTACCAGCTCTGGAATTCACTCCCCCCTGACCTCCACAACACCACTGTCAATCTGTTCAAATCCAAACTCAAAACACATCTTTTTGTTTTTTTTTGATAGGACAGTCAAGCGTGAAAGGGGGGGGGGAGAGAGGGAGTGACATGCAGCAAAGGGCCACAGGCTGGAGTTGAACCCGGGCCGCTGCAGCAACAGTCTTGTAGATGGGGCACCTGCTCTACCACTAAGCCACCGACGCCCCACTCAAAATACATCTGTTCAGACTTGCCCATTCCATCTGATCAAATGCACTATGTTCTTACACTGTCTTCCCCCCTATTGATGTATGCTTTTTTATCTTTGCTGTAAGGCAACCTTAAGTGGCTTGAAAGGCACCCTAACAAATAAAATGCATTATTATTACTATAATGGGCCATTTACTAGACTCAAAGAAATGCAGCAGAGTAATTAAACCTTGTGGCTCTAAAAACTCCAGACTCAATGGGGGGAAAAAAGAAAGGACTGTTTGTATCTACCTTATCTATAGCTCACAGTCCAGAGAACTCTGGGTGTGTCTCAAGCTGAGGCCAGTGCTCAGCTGCCTATGGACCTCAACATGTTCATCTCCCGAGAATATTCTCAGAATGCTCTATTACTTGCTACTGTAATGTGGACAGATGCTCGTTACTGAACCTAAATTAATGGTTTTAAATGTAGCTCTATTTACCATGTGATAATATCGCTGTGAAAGGCCTCCTTTTAGAAACATTAATACTGCACACTTTGTACAGATTGTAACTTATACAAAACTGCATTAGTCTATGATGCAAATGGAAAAATACAGAAATGTTTGTTTATTTTTTGCAGTAAAATGGAATCTTTTTTATCTTGAAAATAATAAATGCTTTTTTTTTCTTTTTACTTCTTGAAAGACTTGGGACACACTTGCTCTTCTCTTGAGTAACAACAAAAGCTTAATGATGGTGAAAAAGCAGGAGAAGAAGACACTTGTGTTGTAATTGGATGAATACAGTGTGAAAAGAAAATTCACAGTTTTCTTGGATAGCTAGAGTAACTATATTTATATACAGGTAGGACAGCAGAGGAGATACCTATACACCAATGTTACTGGGCTAGAAAGCCACAAAAAGGTCCACAGGCTGAGATCAGTGCAAAAACAGTCTATTTATCTGTGCATGCTTTGTCATATATTGCCCTTTTATTTTCTATCATTCTGTGTATAGCTGTGATTTTTTTGTACATTTTTGTTCTTATATTCTGCTATCATATATTGGTACCTGAGGATGTTGAGG